AACTCATGGTCTCCTGCAAACTCCACTCCCCTTTTGCTCCAATTTTATTTCCTCTGGGAGTGGCCCTTCATTGTCCACCTGTGGCCTTACTCCCAAGTCGACCCCTGTTCTTTAGCTGTTCCCTTCGTCTGGCAACACACTGGGAACAGGCTCCAGCTGTTCTTCTGCCTCACTGATGTCTGACTCTGAAGGCAGCTGATAACTGTCGGACGTCCCTGGCCCCCCCTCTCCGCCTCCGACACAGAGCCCTCCTCAGAGCCTTCCCCAGACTCCAGGACTGGCCCAGGTTCCTCCCCAACCTCCTCACTCTCCGAATCTGCTACCAGATCCGCTGGCAGGCCACAACAGTCTCTTTCACCGTCCACCACATCCCTGGGTCTTTCCATACCTGGCCCCCAGCAGCAGAAAAACACCACGGGGTACAGGACCACAGCCTGCTCGACCACCTTCAACATCTCCCACTGTTGATCGCCGACGTAACCCATAGAGTTCACAAACCGCTTGTACAGCATCCTGGCTCGGATGAGCAGGGTCTAAAGAAGGAGCAAGATCTAAGTAAGGACTCGGTTGATGCTGGAAGGAAGAGAGGGTGGAAAGGAGGCGGCTGCATCCAGATTCCTGCTTCACTTTGAAGCCCTGGGAGGAATTGAATCTAGGCACATGCCTGGTCTGGGTTCACTCGTTCCTCCAGGCCGTGGTTTACTTAACCATGGTTTGTTGGTTAGACAACACCTGACTGAGCCTGCGCCAGACAATAAGGCCTTAAACCATGGCTTCTAAGCCACAGGAGGCAGTTTCCACATTGCTTTAAGCCAAAACGAAGTCACATAGTACAACGGCTTAAAGCGTTGGTGGGAATCAGGCCACCGACAGCCTCTCTCGGTCTAATTTATCTCAGAGTCCTCGCGTAAATAAAATCGGCAGCCAGACCATCTAAGATGTGCCCAGTTAGCAGTTCAAAGGTTCCTATTGTTTGAATTCCCCCACCCTAAGAATCTCTGCTTACTCTGAAGTCCATCTGCTTACCATTAGGGAAACCAAAACAAGATTTATTGAGGAAGCTGGGCTCCGGGACAGGGAAACTCAGTTCCACGTGCGATGCATTAAATCAGCGTTAGGAAACGCTTTTGCTCTAACTGAGGAGGAACGCAGCAGCGGTTGGAGGACATCGAAGGTGGAGAAAGGAGCATGACTTGTGGGCTTCACAACTCAAAGCACTGCACACCTCTTCCTGAATCCCCCCCCCCTCCCATTAGGTGCCGAAGGGTTTTCAACCACAGGAGGAGGCACAGCCCTTTGTGCGCCTCTCACCAGAATTGCCAGGAAGCTGAGCATAAACGAGACCAGGAACACTCCGGTGCTGTACAAACACAAAACGGCGCAGGTGACGTGCTGGGACGATCCGGTGCTGAGCATGTTTCCCGTGTGCAACAGGAGGCATCTATGGACCAGACAGAAGCGCAGGGGTTTGCCTGGGAGGCAAGGGGGTGGGAGTTACGGGGGGGGTGTCCAGACCTCCTCTGGGAAAGTCCGAAAAGCAAGGGTGAGGACCCCTTAAGAGACCTTTGGGAGTTGGGGGCCGTTGTGGGGACAAAGTCTCAGTTCCACCCCTGACTCTCTGGGATGGGCACACAACGAGCTGTGTTCAGATTGTCCTACCCATGTTCTGCGGTGACGTTCTGAGGACACTGGAAGTGGTTGCCCAGCCCCAAAACAGGAGCCATCAGGAAGATGGGGACGAGGCTGGAAGATAAAAGGTATATCCGTCTCTTCTTCAAGATCTTGACACGCACACGAGAAAAAACCAGCTCTCCTTCCAGAGAGTTCCTTTTACTGGCCTAAGTAGCCAGATCAAACTGTGACCCGTCAAAAGCGCGTTCCACAAAAGCGCGGTAGACGAAATCGCGTATGTGACGTCATCACAACGCGACAAAAAAGATCTTGAAGAAGA